AGTTTTTTGCTTTCTACCTGTTCAGGGCTAGGGACTTTCTGGAACCAAAATATTAAGAGCAAGTCCTTCCAGATGCTCTAAGACGCACTGCTTAATCTTCAGTATTTCATTGTGAGGTAGAAGTTATCTCGGGTTTCCAGCCGGTGGACTGGAGGCTTTGCCAAGCTCTGGTTGCTGTCAAGCCAGCTGAGCCCACAGGGGTCAAGGCACAGGTCCAGGCTCCTTCCGGCAACTTGGAGTATATGGGGATCAGATGATGCCTCAGAGGAGTCACATAACATCCTAAGCTACTGTAATTGGAGCTCAAGGCAGTAGTGTGTGTGTGCTAAGTCCTTTCAGTCACTTCTGACTCTGCACCCCATGGACTGTAGCCCACCAGGCTTCTCTGTCCATGGGATTCTCCAGGCAAGAATACTAGAGTGGGTAGCCATTTCCTTTTCCAGGGGAGCATCCTGACCCAGTGATTGAACCCACATCTCTTGTGTCTCCTGCATTGGCAGATGGGTTCTTTACCACGGGTTCTTTACCACCCAGGAAGCCCCAAGGCAGAAGTACCAAAACTTATTTGCATATGCATCTTCTTTTGTTGTGTGTGTTTTTTTTTCCATTTATTCTTATTAGTTGGAGGCTAATTACTTTACAATATTGTAGAGGTTTTTGCCATACATTGACATGAATCAGCTATGGATTTACATGTGTTCCCCATTCCGATCCCCCCTCCCACCTCCCTCCCCATCCCATCCCTCTGGGTCTTCCCAGCGCACCAGCCCTGAGCACTTGTCTCATGCATCCAACCTGGGCTGGTGATCTGTTTCACCCTTGATAGTATACTTGTTTCAATGCTGTTCTCTCAGAACATCCCACCCTCGCCTTCTCTCACATAATCCCAAAGTCTGTTCTGTTCATCTGTCTCTCTTCTGTTTTGCATATAGGGTTATCGTTACCATCTTTTTAAATTCCATATATATGCGTTAGTATACTGTATTGGTCTTTATCTTTCTGACTTACTTCACTCTGTATAATGGGCTCCAATTTTTTTTTAAGACATCTGAAAGTAAAAGTAATATGTCGACCTGTCAGTCTGCAGAGGCTCTCCCCCACCCCAGCTCTGACCTCTCTCCCAATTAGCTAATGTGGCAGAAACTACAAGAACAAAGAAACCTCAGCCCGGTGTGAATTGTAGAACGTTTTATTGAACACAGATGAACAGCAGAAGTCAGGTTTCTCTGTGGATTAAGGACTCCAGGCGCCAGCAAGGAGGTGAAAGAATTTCAGAGGAAATGTTTGGGGCGGAGGGAGAAGTTCAAAGGGAAATAACTTAGAGGACAAGATAAATAGCCCCTTCAGAAATGTTTCAGACAGTAAAGCAAATGAGGGACCCAGAGATGGGGAGGCAGAAACAAGGCTAAGGAGCCTGGGAGTGAGCATTTGCCGAGAAAGCTCTCTGCCTGTCCCACCCAGGGCTCACAGAGCCAGCGGGGAAGGGTCTAAGCCTTGGAGTTAGAGCTGAACTCACTCGCTAACTAGCCAACCACATGCCACCAGCTGATCGGGTGGCTTTGCACCATGTAGCTGACCTAAAGCTTAGTTTCCTCATCCTCAAAATGGGACTAACGATGCCCAACCCCAGAGCTGTTAGGCAGATTACATGAAATTCTGAATGTGAAAACTTGGACTACAATATCCTAGACGCACACCTTATCCAAGTGCCAGAAATAACTTATTCCTAATCTTGAGCTATGCTCAAGCCAACTGCTTTTAAATGCTCTCTAGAGGAATCAGGGACACAGTCCAGCTATCCTCCGCACAAAGGAGGTGACTTCACTGGGGATTTTTGCTGGAATCAAATGCTGATGGTCAGCTGCCTGTCCTGATTAGGACCTACCCGGAGCTGCAGGTGATGTTAGGAAGACAAAACCCCTGGGTCTGAGACCCACTCCCAGGAAGTTATCATGTTCTCCAGGCTTTCCAGGGAAGACCTTAGGAGTCCTGAGAACAAGCCTACCTGGTAGTTGAATGGCTTTCTAGAATTTTAGAAAAGTCAGGACAGGACCTCCTAACCCATCCACAGTGTTTGGTCCCTAGGGCAACCAAAATTACCCAAGCTATTTATAAAACATACTTAATGCTTGAGTTTGAAAAACCAAAAGCCAAGAGCATTTGAATTCTACTCTTTTTAAAATGGCAAGGAAAATACCAACTGATTCAAAGGCTGAACACTCCCTTTCCTAAAAAATTATTTCTCTAATCCTCTTCCCCTGACACAGGAAACACCACACACACACATATGAACAAATATATGCACACACATACGTTCTCACATGAACACCTGTACATGCACACACATACATTCTCACATGACCACCTGTAGATGCACACACATACATTCTCACATGACCACCTGTACATGCACACACATACATTCTCACATGAACACCTGTACATGGTAAAGTCCCTTGAAGAAAATCTTAATATTGTTCAGCATTTTCTAGTTTCTTCTTTAAAACATCATCAGGGAATATATGAGAAGTGGATGAAGGTCTGTATACATAGGATGACCTTTTAGCAACTGTATACTACCACCATCCACCACCTCCAGTGACAAGTTATACTTATTCTGCAGTTATAAGAAGCTGATCAGAAATTAAGTTAGATTCCTTCTTTGCACTATGGGCAAAAATAAATCACAGATATATTAAAGATCCATATATAAATATTAAAATATTTGAAAATCAAGGCTATTTGGATAGCCTTGGAACTGGGAGAAATTGAGCAGAGGGAAGAAACACACAAGCCAATTAAAAGGAAAGAGATTTGATCATATAAAAATCAAAGCTTCAAAGAACATAAGATATCAGAGTCAAAAGCACAAACAAAGACGATAACAAAGTGATAGATTGGAAGGAAACTTTTCAACACATAGAACATGTGACGAGCTCTCCCAAATGATTAACAGGAAGATAAATAACCCAATGGAAAAATGGCAAAGACTATAAACTGGCAAGTTATAGAAGAGGGACCAAAATGAACAATAGTCACATAAAATTTTAAAAAACAAACCATTTCAAAGAGTACATAGGAAAATTAAAATTAACACAAGAACAACATGACTATTTTTTAATGCATTGAAAACTTCAGAAGACTGATAATATCCAGTGGCAACATGGACCAGCTGCTTCTGTCACCTCAAGCTGGTGGAGTGTAAATAACTACAAACTTTTATACAAGTCACCTAATGGTATTTATTTAAAATTAAAATGTGCATGCACACAACTCTGATTCAGGCCATTTCTGGAAATTTTTCACAAAAGCAGTGAATATTTGTCTGTGATGCTTGTTATAGCATTTTATAGTTTTTATAGCAATAAAAACTGAAAACAACCTAAACTTCATTTGAAAGGTGGTTCATTAGACAAATTATATTTAGCATAGCATACCTGGCTATGGAACACTGTTAGAACCTATTCTTTCCACTATATTTTTCACATTTGTGACTTAGTCTGCTTCAATTTCCTCATCTATAAAGTCAAGGTAAAAAGGGTACTTACAACATGGATTTATTTGTGTTAAACTGGAATGACTTTCACCATATGTTGCTAAGGGGAAAAAAGCAATTTGCAAAATTCAAGGTATTTGTTAAAAATGTATATACACCTATATTTATTGGTATATGTTTGTATTAGCAAAGGAAAAAAAGTGGAGAAGTTATACATTCAGTTGTGAACACATCTACTATCTTTGTAATTTGTTATTGAAAGCGAAAAAAAAATCACCAATAGAAAAAAATGACAGGAGACATGAGCAGACAATTCAATTGCAGCTGGTTAACACTGATTGGAAGAGAAAAATTCAGCCCTAAAAAAGGCCACTAGTTTTCAAGAAACTCCTTAATTCAAAGCCCCTATTTCCATGCCATGTGCCAGCAAATTAGCCAAGCTGAAGGTGCTACAGCCACCCACCCTAGGATGAGGCACTATGAAGAGAGGTGTGTGTTTGTGGTAGAGGGTGCATGTGAGGTGACTTGGGGATTGGTAGGAGGAGGAGATGTGGATAAAGAAATAGATCTCTTTGGAGGGGCTAGAATTGCACTCTAATCCTCACCCTTGCACTTATCTCTAAAGTCAAACAAATCCCCTTTTAGAGCTAATCTCTTCATTTGAGGGGCTTCCCAGGTGGCGCTCATGGCAAAGAATCTACCTTCTAATGCAAGAGACTCAAGAGATGTGGGTTCTATCCCTGGATTGGGAAGATCCCCTAGAGTAGGAAGTGGCAACCCACTCCAGTATTTTTGCCCAGAAAATTCCATGGACAGAGGAGCTTAGTGGGCTACAGTCCATGGAGCCAAGAAGAGTCAGACATGACTGAGCACTAGACTTTGATGGGATTCATTGAGGTCATCCTCACAGCAGGCCTGGCACTGAGAGAACCCACCCCTCATTCCATGCCCTTCCCAGCTCTGTTAAGACGCCTGGCTATGAGGCTGAGTTTTCCTTCTCTTCCTCCCCCCTCTAAGCCCTTCATTCTCTGGCCCCCAGCCTCCTTTTCCTTCCTTTGAGAGAGAAGGGAAGCCTTTAAGCTTCCCTTAAGAGAGGAGCCAGCCTTTAAACCCTCCACTCTGTCTTAATATAACCTGTCTGCTTGTGAATTTCTATTTACCACGACACTTATTTCTTCTGCATTTAAATGATTTTGGTCCCTGCAAAAGCAAAGACCTGATTTTAGTCACACACACACACACACACACAAGCACACAAACAAAATGAGACAGGAGCACTATAGCCCTTTACTTGATGCTAATCTTTCTAAATAAGAATCCAGGTGTCACCCGGGATCCAGTACAAAATGCAGGTTTAGTTAGCAACAAGAAGAAAGCTCCCCACACCAAAATGCCAGGAAAGGGAGAAGATTAACGGTAACAATTTTACATGCTTGAAAAAAGACAAAAAAAAACCAAAACAAAACAATGCATTTGAAATCACTGACCCTTTAAAATACCTGGAACAGACAGAAAAGGGAAAAGCCTCTGTGTCTTTGCAAAGGGCAAGTTTCTTCAGAAATGGTGGCAAAACTGGAAGCCAAAAGTACCTGCTTGTCTGGCAGTTAAGTGTTCTGGATGTTTCTGACTAGTCCAGTGGGAATTCCTTTAGACTTTTCCAGACAACAAGGTCATGCACATTCTATGAAAATAATCAGATGCTGTTGTTCCAAGAGCTGGTCCAGGTCTTTAAAGCTCCTCTGTCCCCCGCCTGGGGGGCTGGGTGGTGAGTCCCCCAAGTCCCAGGGCTGAGCTCAAGCACTTTGGGGCCGGGGCTCTCGGCCGCTGTTGAGAAGGTCTGTGAGCTCTCCGATGTACTTGATGGTGTATTTCAGCGTCTGGATCTTGGTGAGCGGCTGGCCCCTCTGACTGTAGACCGGGGGCAGATAATTTCGGAGGGTGTGCAGGGCGTCAGCCAAGGTCCTCATCCGAAGCTTCTCCCTCTCGCTGGCCTTCCGTCTCCGCTGGACGGACATCCTGACCTTGGTGCCCTTCTGGGCCTTGGGGCCGCTAGAGCCCTGCAGATAGGCAGGTGGGAAAGCCAACATGGCGTAGTCCACCTCCACCAGGCCGCTGGTCCCAAGGCCGCTGCAGTCATCACCGCCCCGACCCTTGGCACCTCCGTGCCCACAGGCGAGCCCGGCCACAGCCGGACAGGGGGAGGAAGAATAGGACTCCAGGGACGGAGCCGGGGAGAGGCTCTGGGCGGGAGAGGCCTGGGTCAGCTCAAAGGACCCCGCCCTGTCTTTCCAGTCCCAGGAGGACAGCAGCCCGGGGCTGTCGGAGGAGCCCAAGCCGTCTTCCAGGCTGAGGAAGGTCTCTCGCAGGTTGTCCATGCCTGTGACACAGCTGCAGAGAGGATGAGGCCCTGGCAAGTGAGAAGGCAAGTTGTGCCGCCTGGCCAGGGCAGGGCTCTCTTTTATGATGGCCGGGGAGAAGTGATGAAGTGGGAAAGAGGGTCGGGTGGAAGGAGTTCAAAGGAGAAACCGAGGACCAAGATGGAGAATGAACTCTTCAGGTGTCACTTTCTCCTCATTGATAATTAGCATCTTCCAGCTAAAATGTCTTTAAACAGAAAGGCCTCTGAGAGAAGAAAAAAGGAATTATCTAGTTGTAACTAAACCAATTAAGGCTGCATAACTAGACTTAGCATTGTCCTGTGGAACTCATTAATGAGGGAGCCAAGAAAAACAAACCTGGGGCAATCTGCAGCAAGGAGGTGGTGGCGAGGGGCCTGCTGGAGAGGAACAGAGCCCCGCCCCCAGAGGGGCCACGACCACCTAGCTGTTTCAGAGCAGACGGGGTGCTCTGTGGGAGAATCAGGGTGGTTTGGGGACAAGGTAATCTGAGCTTCGACCCTATTGTTTGTCAAATGCAGACAGTAGTTCCTACTTTGTGTGGTTGTTGTGGGAAAGGCACACAGGCATGCAGTGATTGCCAGTTTTCTTCTCTCCATCCTTTCGCATGTTTCCTTGGGTTTTGCACAGTGCCGACAAGCCCCCAGAATGCTTACACTCAGGGTGACAAAAGCCAGCAGCTCCAGTAAATCCAGAGCCTCAATGAGCAGGAAATATCCTTCAAGAAAGCTTAAAGCCCTTGCTGTAACTGAGCATTTTGGGATTCTCCACAGCAAACAGATACCAGGAAATAGACTGCTCCTTTAAGACAGGACGTCTGCAGAATACCTGGCATGTGGCCTTCTGAGACTCTTTAAAATCCAGCTGCAGAGTCACACCTCGTTTTTTGAAATGTATAGAGGAAGTGTGAAATTAACTAGGGAGCCCGTTTTCCCCACCACAGCTCCAAATGCCGCCAAATGTGTTAAGTTGGATGGTCCTGCTAGGTTGCTTCACTTCCTAATGCTCTGAGAGATAGACCTGGTGTTTTGGAAAAGGAGTCTCAGATTCCCCATTTGTCCCAGGAACGAAATTTATTCTCCATGCCACTAATTCTACAAATTAGTATGAATGTCAGCATCACAGTGAGTTACATTTCATATGAATGTGTCCTTTAATATGGTTATTTAAGCCCCTTTGCAATTATTGAAAAGAAATGTCAATGGTATAATTAGTACATTGATGGTATTTTTTAATTAGCTTGGCTCAGGGGGAGAAAAAAAGCTCTAGCAGGTAATCTGTAGAAGAATGCTTTTAATTATGCCATTTGCTAAAGGACCCTAAGCCATATCTTGAAGAAGAAGAATATTAATGAAATTAATAAATGCAATAGATGGCTCTCTTTTCCCTTCTCCTCTTTCTCTTCCCTCAACTCTTATTGGAAAGTCTAGAATCTATTGATTCTACCCAAGAAACCTTACCTATTGGTATGAAAGAAACAAGTGAAAGTGTTAATCATCACTTGTGTCAGACTCTTTGTGAACCCATGGACTGTAGCCTGCCAGGCTCCTCTGTCCATGGAATTCTCCAGGCAAGAATACTGGAATGGGTAGCCATTCCCTTCTCCAGGGGAACCTTCCTGGTTCAGGGATCAAACCTGGGTCTCCCACACTGCAGTTAGATGCTTTACTATTGGAACCACCAGAAAAGTCCAGAAAGTGAAAGTGTTAGTCCTAAAACCTGCTAGGCTCCTCTGTCCACAAGTTCATCTGATTTCTCTAGAGGGAGGTGACCTGAATGCCATTCAGAGAGAGGGGATTCTCCATAGGCCTGAGGTGGCTGTGCTGGTCCCGGCCACAGTTGGCTTTCAGGCCTCATGTTTTGGACTTTACAATTTTCCATGTAAAACTATTTCTGCTTCCAGACTCCGTAAATGTTTTTCCCTCTCTAAAGCTTCTGCCTGGGGTTTCCCTTGTGGCTCAGCTGGTAAAGAATCTGCCTGCAATGTGGGAGATCCAGGTTTGATCCCTGAGTTGGTAAGATCCCCTGCAGAAGGGCATGGCAACCCATCCCAGTATTCTTGCCTGGAGAATTCCATGACCAGAGGAGCCTCGTGGGTTATACAGTCCATGAGATCACAAAGATTCAGACACGACTGAGTGACCAACACACAAAGCTTCTTTCTAAAATTGATGATTTCTTAAACTTCTGTTTTCAGAAATTTCATTTCCTAAATGAGACATTATCTGTCAAATCCTTTGTGTCTTGCAGACCCTTAATAAATGTAGGATTTGTTCTTGCTGTTACTGTCTGCTCATGGTCCAACTCATCAGCATCAGAACAGCCTACTGGATTCTGACTCCTCTCCCCTGACCCCGGTCACTCAGCATTGCTGGTCCTGGGAAACTTGCTCTTAGAACAAAGAAAATTGCCTGCTTTCCCTATTTGTCAATGTAGACTCTTTCACTCCTGTGAGAGACAAACCAGAACTAGACATTCACCTATGCTTCTGGTCTCCAGGAAGCATTCTGGGCTCAGTCAGAGGAAACTGGAGATGCAGGACTGCCTAACAGCCTTAGCATTTGAAGACCTGGAGTTGGGTCCACACTAGTTGGTGTTTCGTTTTTTTTAAATATGCCTTGAAGACCAGGCCACAGAAGCTGGACAAGACTAAACAAGACCCAATAAAGCCTAGTTGACAGTGTGACGTAGCAAGAAGAGCCAGAGTTTACCTCCTTTAGAGCAAATGACTCATCGCCTCAGGACCATAGTATTTTAATTTGTAAAAGAAGGATAATGTCTGTTCTGCCTTCTTTGTGAAGAGCATCTGTAAAATGAAGCGTGTAGACCAGATCATTAAACCTCCTTCCAGCTCTAAAATGCAATGAAACACATTACTGTGTGAACATGCCACTTGATCAAAAGACCAGCTGTCACACCCATGAAGGGACTTAGAGACTATTGAGCCCGCCCTTTTATCTGCATTCTGGAAATGACAATGACTTGCTCAGTGTCACACTAAAAGTCTGTGGCAGAGATGGGAACCGAAAAGCCGAAGTTGCCTGATGCCCAGATCTGTCATTTTTCTTCCCTTGAAACTAACACAGGTTAAGTGATAAGTAAGCTTTCATATCAGTCAGGATATATAGTTCCCACAATACTGTTATTGGGATAAATATTTTAATATGAATAATATTTATAAGATATTGTCACTATGATTGTAACAAATTAAAAAGAAGTCTCCACGCAGAAATAGAGAACAAATGTATGGATACCAAGGGGCGCAGGATGTATGGAGGGATACTGAGATTGGCATAGATATATTACTATATATTAAATAAATACCTAATGAGGACTGACTGTACGGCACAGGGAACTCTACCCAGTGCTCTGTGGTGACCTAGATGGGAAGGAAATTCAAACAAAGAGGGGATAGATGTAAATGTATGGCTGATTCACTTTGCTGTATAGCAGAAACAAACCCAACATTGTAAAGCAAATATACTCTGACATTTTTTTTAAAAAGTCTGCAACCCCAAGGCATACTACTAAGATGACTTGTAAAATTTCCGAGTCCTATTTTCCAAAGAATAGTGTAAGGATACAGATTGTCTCAGCTTTCAAGTCCCAGGTCATTACAATAATCTTTTCACTGTAGAAAAGAACCCAGGATTTTGCCACACAGATTAATCAGTGGTCTGGTGTCCAGTTTTCAGAAAGACAAACAGTTGAGGGGATGACAGTCATGACCCCAATAACAGTCAGGACAGACGCATGGGCAACTGGGCACTTCGCACTAGCCAGAGGTGATTATAAACTCTGCACCTAAGGGCCAGGTAGAGCCACTTCCAGGAAATTGACAAACAGTGCTCGGAGAATCCACTGGAAACAAGAGGAGATAGGCTTCTTCAATGCTTGAGTCTGAATCCACCAGTGGTCCCATGTCACTGCTAGCCCGTAAGGCACCTCTATGCAAGTTAGAAAATTGCAGAGCTTGGACCTATGTCAGCTGCGCTCCTGACCTCTTCCAGTCGCCTCTGTGCTGGGTATAGCCCCTGCAAATGGTGGTTCTTGTGACGTGTCTCTTGCTATATTAGCCTTTTCAGTACTAAATTGTTGTTCGCTGTTCAGACACTGGTGGACAGATGGAACGTGGTAGTAGTATAATAATGCAGCCATTTAGAACTGGACAAATCTTACACTGGCTCCTGTGTCATTATGACCTTGGACATGTTAATGCATCTGTCTTAGCTTCAGCTTTTGTCTGTACAATTGAAATACTAATACTGACCTCACAGAGAGAGGTCTACTTTTTCATCAGGTCTACACATGGTATGGTGTAAGTTTACTGACAAACTGTGCTCAATCACTTCCTGATTCCCTGAGTCAAAAGAAGTCAGAGCCACAATACATGTAGTCCCAAATGCATGTCTTCCATTTTCTCTGACCTTAAGTCACCTCTGCTTAGAAATAAAAATTCCCTCCTTTCAAATGCAACCAGATAGATATTTTCAGTGAAACCAACTTAGACAGAGCTCTTTATCAAAGAGGGCTTCCCAGGGTGGCTCAGTGGGTAAAGAATCCTCCTGCAATGCAGGAGACACAGGTCCCATCCCTGGGTTGGGAAGATCACCTGGAGAAGGAAATAGCAACCCACTCCAGTATCTTGCTGGGAGAATCCCATGGACAGAGGAGCCTGGCGGGCTACAGTCCAGGCTTGCAGAGACATGGCTTGACAACTGAGCACGCGCATGCTTTACCAAAGAACAGTGGTTACCCAGTGTGAGTAGTTGGGAGTTATCTGCCTCTAGTGCAGACAATAAAGGTATGCATTACCTACAGATAATTTAGAAACAGAGATGAGATAATTTAGAAACAGTTGATCTGTGTTTTACTATTGCTATATAGTGTCGGTTGCAAACAATGACAATAATAAAATGACTACTCCTTGCTGGTGTGGCCCATGACCACCACCACCCCATCCTTGGTGCCACCACTGCCAAAGAGAACTTTAAACAGTACAGCAGTTTGGAACCGTGACCCAGGATGCCTGAGTCCTAGTTCTCGTTCTGACTTTCTTAACTGTGCAACGTTGAGTGACTCATTCATTTATGGAACTTGCCTTTCCCATGTGAAAATTTAGACCATCCTATACTGTGGATCACAATAAACTGTGGAAAATTCTGAAAGAGATGGGAATACCAGACCACCTAACCTGCCTCTCGAGAAACCTGTATGCAGGTCAGGAAGCAACAGTTAGAACTGGACATGGAACA